CTGAAAGTGGTGACAGCTAATAGGAAGAACTGATAGTGGCATTAAGGCAGAGAGTATCAACGGCTGGCAATGGCATTGCGGTGAAGCCTTAAAGTTACTTGTGGATATCTAAAGTATCTCAAAATAAGTCAACCGACTGCAAATGTACGTGACTTACGCAGTCCCAGAGAGGAGTAGAAAAGTGGCTATTGGAAAGCTCCAGATATGCGCAGAAATAGTTGGAGATTAATGAGGATGGCTCCTGCTAAACAGAGGTGCCCAAGTTAATACGAACAACTGATAATGGTACTGAGAGAATATCGTCGGCTAGCTATGGCATTGGGTTGAAGCCTTCTAGTAGCTAGTGAACACCTGGAGTATCCCAGCATAAGTCAGCAGACAGAAAATGTGTGTGAAGCAGGCAGTCTCAAAGGATGAAGGTTGGAGATAGAAGAGGGTGACTCCGAGCAAGCTCCGGAGTTGCTTGGAGCCTACGACCACAAGTTGCTACTAAATTTAGATGTTGTGGTTGATTTGATCGGCAGATTATGGCGCTATGAAAAACTTTCGGCGGTCAGATATAACCATCCTTTGAAGCAGATTGGTCACCAGTGGATTCCTACAGTGTCAGCAGAGTACATCAGCAAGCCATCAAAGGTACGTGATACAGGCATTCCAAAAGATAACAGGGTGGGGAAACAAGGAATGTCTCCTAGTAGCGCTGGGTATGCGCAAAGATTTATGGAGCCTACAAGGAATCACTGCAGAAAACCTTGTGCAGATAAGAGGAACGAAGGATAATGGTGCTAAGAGAGAGCATCAGTGGACAGCAACTTAATTCGCACTAAGCCTTCTGGTTCCTAGTGGATACTTACAGTGACAGAGGAAGTCAACAGACATGCGTAGGCATGTGATGCAAACGATTTAAGAGGGTAAATGTTGGAGCGATAAGGTATGGCTCCTAGCGCAAAGAGGTGTGCTGCCTACCAAGGCTCGATGCAGCTGAAGAGTGGCGACATAGGTGATAAGAAGAACGGATAAGGGTACCCAGGGAGAGAGTATCGACGGCTAGCAATGGCATTTGGGTGAAGCCTACTGGTGGCTAGTTGAAACCTAAAGTGTCCCAGAATACGTCAACAGACAGCAAATGTGTGACGCAGGCTGTCTAACTGGATGAAGGTTGGAGATAAAAGAATGTGGCTTTTAGCAATCTTTGGATATGCGCAGAGATGATTAGAACCTACGACCACAAGTTGCTACTAAATAGAGGTGCTGAAGTAAGAGGATCGACAGATCAGGCACTGTGAAAAACTTTCGGTGGCCAGATGTAACCACTCCATTAGGCAATTTGGTCACTAGTGGAATCCTACAGTGTCACAGAATATATCAGCGGCCATCAAAGGTAAGTGATACGGGCATTCTAAAAGATTATAGGAGGGAAACACGGAATGTCTCCTAGCAGCTCTGGGTATACGCAGATGTATGGAGTCTATGTGATAAACCGCAGGACCACTTAAGGTTTTATAAAATACTAAACTCTATATTCCTGGTGGTTTATATGGCTCAGTATACCCTGAAAATTGCCCCATGCTGAGGCTGATGTTGCATTCTTGATGCTTCTTCACCGCAATTGGGCTAAACCAACTTACATTTAAACTAGGTCTTTTTAAGCTGGCTAAATTGCATTCCGCTTTATTTGGTTTGTTCTGCCTCCCTGAATAATGTTCTATTAACTGGCCACGTTGCTTACACTAAATGCGCTTATCTTCGGTAATTTTGTTGCGTTTTGTAGCATTTTAAGTAACTTGTGGACATTTCTTACTTATCACGGATTTGTTGCTAACCAACTTACTTCATATGGTAATTTAGCGAAGAGTTATGCCACCGTATCTGTATGCATTATTGGATTTATTTTATTTTAGCTTGTCGTTTAAAGTGAATGGCTGTTGTTTGATATCCCTGGTATGGTTGCGCTTGATGTGTATGTTGACAAGGTGCCTACCTGTCTATTACCCACTACATCGTTCATACTGGCTCCATGAGACAGTTGGTCGTTGCTGGAGGGGACGGGGTGCACGGTTCTTTTGGCCGTGCTAGGCTCAAAGAGCGGTTCCATGCATTCAGTGTGGAGCGGACTACGGTCCAGCCACCGCCTTGTGTGCGGTTGATTCCCCAAATACAGCGTGCTTGTGTTTGCCTGTGAAGGAGTGTGGACCGGCTCCGTTGATGAAACGTGGTTCCCATCCGCATGCGTCCCGGTCTTATTCCTTCGGGTTTACACTGGATATGGGGTATGTGGTTGGAACTGTGGGTGGTGCAGCGCAAGCCATCCATGGTCCCTCTGTAGGCGCAGGCGTCCTGTGGCTTGCCACAGTGACAGGCAAATCCGAAACCGGATACCGCCAACCATACCCTGAAAATGGTACAATGAGGAATTCTGACCTTAAATTAATTATAAGTTTTCAGGAATTGCCATGCACACATAAGCTTTCTTACTGGAGTTGTGGTGTTTTCGCGCAAAGTACAGCTTATTTGCCTACATTGGCTGTGTATGTCTGCAAAGTGTCTTTCAGCCACCTAGGAAGTCTCTAGTTATTGCAGGGTATTCCGGACTACAAAAAGCATTTCTAGATAGCTATGTCGATTTAGAACGTATATCGCTTCGATACATTTTACATTTGCTTTTCTTTTGCCTGCTATCTGCTAGCGAAGCAGAAAGCCATTTTTAGCGAAAAAATAATGGTCTTATTCGTAGACCACCACACAATTGCGAACACCGCGCAAACTACTGGAGTATTCCACTGTTTTTACTTCTAACGAAATCAGCGGTTAAAACCTGTCCTGTGCTGCCTAATCTTGTGCCACGTTACAAAATATTCTAGCCCTGGAAAAGCTATGCATTTTTGCTTCGATTTACTCAGGCTGAAACTGAGCGCCAGAATTCAACATAGCACAAGAAAAGGTTGGTTATATTTTTTGTTAATTTGTATCTTTCTATTGAAGCTCGCCGCTTTAGTAGATTTTAACAACTCCTGTTTATAGCTGTGTGTATTTCTCGAACTCATTGTTTCACTTTTCGTATCCCTTATAATTCCTCCGCGCTTATTGCTTCCATGTGGGCACCAATATTTGTGGCCACTGAGCGGGCCAAGCATGTCTTATGAATTTAAATTGTTTGTGGTGAATTAGATCCTGTTCCAAAGAAAACCGGTACGACTACGGCTCTGCGCAACTTGCACAACCAAACTCCAGGTGCGTAATATAGCTCAAAGGAACCAGAAAATTTTCAAGGTGGGCGCATACAACCCCAAAAGTTGTACACCCAACAAGCCAATGCATTTGTACTTGCTAACTAGGAGTATGTACTCCTATTTTACTTACGCCCATGCAAGAGCATTTGATTAATGTGAATATTGATCTGAACCCTTTAGGTTGCAGCCTCTAGCCAGTCTAGAAATATATCTAGTTATTTAAAATACCCAGATACTGACGGTCACATACTTCTGCGGCAAAGCCTTTGTCACCCGTTGTACTGAAGCGCCCAGCTACCTTATCGTCTCGCATCCGCCGGTTGGTGTAAGTTATTTTTATCGGGTCCACCAGAACGATGCCTAGTACTTGAGACGTAACTATGTAGCTTCTGTCGTACAAGTCCTATTTGCTTGCTTCTCGAATAATTATCTTGACGGTATATGGCTGCTTAGCCATTTGTTGCTTTTCCCCCACCTAACCATGCACCTACCTGCCTTCACTGGTCTTAAGCTTTTTCCTACACTTGCACTCAACATCCCACCGGCTTTCCATTACTCAACACACCGCTTCTAGCCTCATGACGCATCCTTGTTCGTTGTAATAACTCCGTGCAGCGCAGCGCCGTAGCCACGTATATTCTGACTTATATGCGCCTTTTGCGGTGTGGCCTCTGGCATTGCAGCCATGGGGCGTCGAGCTTACCAACTGTCCGCACACTTCTCAGGACGCTACTGCATATTTCTATCCACCAGGGCGACTTACCTATAGTAGGTGACGCAGCGCACTGGCCGTTTAACATCTAACCTTCACATTCCGTTTACTAGATTCCCCAGCTTAGTATCCTAGGCTGGCGAATGACTGCTCAGTTTGCCACAGGCTTTCTCAAACTGAACACTTTCCCGTAACTATCTTTCCTGGACGTTGCCTTAAAGTTGCGCTCCGCTTGCTGCTGGGTTCTCATCACTTCCACGCAGCGTGCTAGCTGCGTAGCTGATGACGCCCATCGTCCAGTTACATGTACCCAAGACCCAACTTGCTACTAACATTCCATCAAGTCACAGGCCCGTGCTACTATTAAGTTGCAAAGGTGTTAGCACTAATAACCCCGCACGACACAGCAAGGTAACTATAAACAGCTAAAAACAAATGTAAACTAACCACCAACCCTACCGCGATTCTCCACGCCTACCCGTCCTTTTCACACTAATAACCAGTTGATATGACATATATGAAGACAAAGCTAC